TTWWAATTATGGCAKAKCCAAATTTAAYTACAATTTTMAWMTYWWTASTTTYWTWGTAMTTTTAAGTAGCTCAAATAKTTTTTTGTAATTTTTGCAAARTKWKTSAWYTTRWWTTTTATTTTCAATTGACATTTCAAGACACTTTTAGTTTTCACGAAGTTRAGAATTAAATTAATCATCTTTTCATGATAATTTCMACAAAAAKTTGCATCAAACCAATATTGAATATACAAGGTGATCAACGCCTTCGAATGACTTGGTTAGATTGTTCCACTCAACAATCACTAGAAATTTGATTATTTCTTTTAAAATATTATTATTCTAAATCAATTTTAGTAAAAGTTGTAATTCTCGTTATATACTGCGACGTATTTTCTTCGCTGGAAGGTTATTTTTTCCATTCAAGTTTATATGACACTAGCGAAGAAATGCTACTCTATATGAAGAAAAAAGTGGAAGAAACTATGAAGCTATTAACAGTGTACAGAGTTTGGGTGGCTATAACTCTTTTGGCCTTCATTGGAACACCTTTTCTTACCAGTGCAGGCACGTACAGATGGGCATACCTTATTGTATTTGTACTTTTTCTATTTAAATTGATTTTTTTTAGATTGTTGTCAGCCGCTCTTTTTCCCTGGAAAATTCACGACACTAAATCGTACATGTTTACACTGTTCATACAGACGTGGACTTCAATAATCGGTGCATCTGTGTGTGTTACACTCGATTGTACTTTTGCCATATTCAGCACTATAGTGAAAATGGAGTTACATCTTTTAAAGGAGAAATTTAAAACTATGGATTTTTCTAGCACTAACAAGCAGATAAAATATGAATTGAAGAAGAACATGGAGTTGTATGATAATATTGTTAAGTAAGTGGTTGAATAGCTTTTTAACCATAAAATAAAATTGAAATTTGTAGAATCACTTTTGCCATTCAGAAGATATTCAACTACGTTCTTCTCTCCACTTTTATCAACAGCATTATCTTGATTTGCCTCACTGGTTTCCTTTCAACCCATGTACGTACAAATTTACGGTTTTTTGCGACTTTTAAGGCAAAATGATAATTTCAGACCGTCATCGATGAACAGGCAGATTTGTCCGAAAAAATCAACTATGTATACACTTTAGGCTACTTTGGATATTTGCTGTTCCAAGTGAGCGTTTATTGCTATTATGGCCACCAAATCATGACCGAGGTGAGACTATTTTTGATTAAACTTTTAAAATAGATTCATAAAATGTTAACGTTTCTTCACAGAGCTCTGATATAAACGAAGCAATCTACTTATCAAACTGGTACGTATCAGACAAATTCATTCAAAAGGATTTAATAATCTTGAGGGAGCGCTTGAAGAGACCGATTATATTCAAAGCGGGAAACATTTTTCCTTTAACATTTCCCACCTTAATACAGGTACCTTGTTGAATGAAGCGCGATTATAATGAAAATGCAAACTTGCTTTTTGCAGATTTTTAAATCGTCTTATTCGATCTTTGCTCTGCTGCAACAGATGGATTAAACCAGTGGATCTGATTCTGGGTGAAAAGTAGTCTGTTTTTGACCTGAGCACTCTTTTTAGATTTCACCACACATCTGGTCCAGTAGTGTAAGCTGGCGCTTTTGCAAATATTAAATATATTTAATTAAATCTGAGCTCGTGTTTTAATCCAGTAAAACCGACTTAACACTATCGGGAAGCTGACAAAGCCCTTGCAATATCCATGCTTTAAGTAAACAGGTGTAAGCTAAGATATGTTTCCTTGGACCAAACCTTTTGAAAAATATGAAATTTCAACAGATTAAAAATATTTTTGGTATTTTCTCTAAAGATTCAGACCCCATAGTCAGCTTTATAAATTGTTCCATCCTGACTGGAGGAGGTTTGGTTAACCTCATTCAAGTGAACGTGGAATTATTGGGAATCAATCGCTGAACTTCGCGCAAATTGAGGCACATAAATGGTCACCGGGTTTGGAGGTTTAATTAAGCAAATGGATCGAGTTGATGGAGAAGTTTGCAAGGGAAATTTATGCAGCAAACGCGATTTGGAACGCAAAATCTTAAGGGGAAACGCAATTTAATTAAACTCTAGATGTTGAAGTGGTTTTTAAATCATTTCTTCGATTTTAGCGTGTCTGGCGCCGCAATCAAAGAGTTGGCATGCGAACTTCCATAAATCCCAGATAATCATTCCTTTGCCAAAATTTAGGAGAGTTTTTATGTTTTCACTGTTTAAGGTTTGCAACATATGGGGCCAAAGTTATGCTATTTTGCAACAAAACACACTTTGGGGTCATTTTTCTCTTGTAGCTTCCAGTAAAGAATTATTCCTTCCTCCTAAGAATTGGAAAAATTTATGAAGAAATTTCTGTGATGCAAAAGCGTATCGCTATGCTTTCTTAAATTGGCGTTCAAACCCTTTTATGGGTCTGGATCTAGAGAACAAAACGCTTCAGTTACGGAATACGCAATTTTAAAAGCTTCATTCTCCGCAGCTGGAACAATACATGGCGAATAACTTTGCTATATAATGTTACATTTCAAACTGGAAACCCTGCAAGTATTTACATTAAAGTGCTGTATTGTTCTGCTGTTAAGTGCATTTAATAACTTTCAAGTGGAATATGAATGCGGTGAAACGATCAAATGCCATCAATTAGGAGCGAAATAAAGATGCTAAATATTCGAATGAATATTAACATAAAATTTATTCTCAATTTAGCCCACTCGGTATATAAACAGACAATATTTTAATGCATTTATTAATAAACTGTTTCCATTGCTCTAATGAACAACTCGATTGGGCTTTCCTAGTGATTGCATTGATTCATTAAAATAATTGCAAATATAATGTTAATAAAACTTAAAGCTTTACAAATGGTTATACAAAGTTCATCAAATTACGTTCTTAAGGGACTTTCTGATCGAGATTCGCGACTTCATGCATTTATTAGGAAATTCAATCGCTAATGGTTCGTAGATTTTTAAATTACTGATATTTCAAACAGTTATTAAAGCTTTCAGATTTTATTTAATATAATCTAAATAAAATGAATGCCAAAAAACTGCGGCACTAAAAAATTCAGAAAATAAATGTAATGTGTATCATATCCCGGTAAATTATGACAAAAAATTAGGAAAACTGCTGGTTTCTTTTTCCGCCTCTGCCGGATCTAATGCCGAAAAGAATCCAGAAATAACTGTACTTTATTTGAGTTTTGAACACTATTTATGACACTAGATTTTTGGGAAAAAATAGTCAAACTATTAGTTGCGCCCCAAGTGCTAAATTCGCCGATTAAATAAAAAGTTGACCAAAAAACATTCTTTTAATTGCTGAATTTACAAACGCTCCTTAGCGAATAAAACGTGTATCAAACCCGGACAAGTTATGAATCGAATTTGAATAATTTCCGTTGATTTTTGAGGGAAACCCACAATATTCTCCCGATCGGAACGCTAATGAAAACCCGATATCTGCTCCACCTACGTTCATTGAGATATTCCCTGCCGAATACTCAAACTCTCAATGGCATAATAGAGCACATTGCGACTTTCCGCTGATCGTAACTCCTAATTTAACTGCCCCTGACGTCAACGTATCCATATCTCTCCCTTCTATTCCAGGCCAGTTTCGGCCAGGAATATTCCAGTTCAGCACTAAATGTAGTTGATGGAAAAGAAATACGTTCAAATGAGTTCCCTGATAAATTAGGCAGTTAATTTGATCGTGGAAACAATAACCGGAATTATTTAACCGACCTCAAACATTTCCCCGCTGGAAATACATTTTACCTGCTATCCAGAGCGACGCTCTGGCTGCCGATTCGGGACGCTTCTCCAGAGCTCCAGCGGCTTTGGACCAGTGCAACTTCAGCTATCGGAACAGATGTAGGCAAGGCTAAAGTTATCTGGATCGCGTGGCGGGTTAAACGAACTCTACGGTTAGTTTGTGCGCGATTATTTGGCTGAATACGAAAAAATGCTGCATTGAACCATTTAATATTTATTTGGAGCGTCGTTGGTGCCTGGCAAAAAAACAAACGCATTTGGATAAAACACTGGTAAGAACAATAAAGGCGACAGAACATTTTAAAGGGGTTTTGCGAAATGGGCTTTTTTTAAATCGCACACTTTCAACTTCAGTTTCTGGAAATTATTGCTGGGGCTTTTGCCTCCTGATTCACGCCATGGATGATTAAAGTGCGGCCGATATTGAGGCTCCGGATTTATGTGCTTGAAATGCGAAAAACTCTAAAGGGGAATTGAAACCCCAGCCCTTGCTTCAAGGGAATGATTGAACATCCAACTCCTGACAGCCTGTAGGCTGAGTAAAAAGTAACTGAGTAAATTAGCCAATAATTAAAAATTCCATTAAAAAGTTGAGAAAACTCAAAAGGAGATTAATCAGCCCTTCAATCTGCAGCCAATTCTGTTTGGCCGAATTTACTACCTGGAATGTTAAGCACTTTGCGCAATTAATTCAACGCGAACAAAGGCAACAGAGCGAATTGACTTTGCGGATGGTGGATTCGATGTTTTTGAGCAGAAGCCTGAATTAATCGTTCCATGAACTTTACTGGACTAGAAATAAGTCAAGTAGATTAATGAAGAAAATGAAAGAACAAAAGGAACAAAACAGTTGTCTGAAAAATTGGCCCGTATGCAAGCTCCCTTATATGGTTTTTTCAACTTTTTTCCTTTGAAAGTTCAATTTCAGTTCGAAGCGCCAAATTACCGTACTCTGTCGTGGTTAAGCCAGTTGGTGCAGTTGGGCGGATTTACATTTTAAAGTGGCACTAAGCCGATTGCATAAAGGAGCGACGCATTTTCTGACGAAACTCTGTTTTTCTCTTTAAACATTAAATAGTGCTTGTCTAAGACATGATCATCCAAAGTATGAAAATTATTTTTTGCGCAAAACTGGCAAATGTTTAGCAACTGTGAGTCTTGCAATTACTTAAATGCGAATGTATTTAAATGTGGAATTTGATGCGAAAAACTCTAGGTACAAACGAAACTTAATATGCAGCCTAGAGCGGCTTTAATTTAAAATGATCCCTCAAATTGCGATAAAGCGAAAAATAAATCAGACGAGATGCGACGCAATTGTGCAGAATTGGTGCATAATTTTAACAACTATTGGCATAAATGGGCCTTTTTCCGCAATTCGTTGTCCCAAAAACCATCGCTTTACTGGAACAAACGTGTTCTAACTCCCTACGCAAGCAGGGTTTAAAAGCAGTGAAAAGGGAGTAAACATAATCATAAACCGACGGTTTATCCCCTATCTTGAAGCCGTAAATATGAACTTGAAATTGTCTCAAGGAACAGCACCTACTTATATTGAAAATTACTTTCACTGGTTCATGTTGATAAAGACAAGAATTTCGTCGGCATTAGTGATCTTACATTTTATATTGATCTTGTTGACTTATAAATGGGGTTCAAAAACTCCTTAAAAAGGATCCAGGCAATAACATCAAAAATGTTCAGATAGTAAGAAATAAATGCCATTTGAGCTTCCAACTAGGAGCTCTGCGAGTTTATTTCCCGAATAAATTAATAAACTTCCCAAAGGACAGTTTCCAGTTTCCAAGTTCAAAAGCAGGATGCGATTTCATCTCCCAGCTAATTGCCCTTAAGCAATTTGAAACTCGCCCGGTTCATTTAAAGAGAAAAAAAACAGACAAAATGATTTAAAACTCTGGGCTTTTTATATTTTTACGCCCATATTGATCGCGTGTCCACTTTGTGCTGCCGCTTCTAAAAAAAACGTTTCTAAAAGAAATCAAATAAAGAAATGGAAACTTTTCTTCCAGCCGAAATTGATTGCTTGCCAAAGGGTCAAAGGGAAAGCAGTAAAAATAAATAAAGAAAGCGATATGTTTGGAGTAAAATATCAAGATTTGGCCCTTATTGGTTCGGGCAGGGGAAGATTTTCTTGGATTACGACTGAGCACACAAAACCTCTTAGGCTTAAACGGGGCTTTTAATCTATTAATACCGAAGAAACAGTGATGTGACAAGCCAATTTGTGTTCGCTCAACAATATAAGCTGCTGATATCAGTAAACCAATATTCTCACATTAAATATCGACACGATAATAGAGGATAAAGAAAATTAATTTAATCATCAATCTTTCGCTCTTGGCGATTCAGTAAAAAAGTAAACAAAATTGAGCTTCGACTGGAAGCTCAATGGACTTTAATCTCAAAGAACTTTTGAGACGATGTAAAAAATTACCGTTTTAACGTTGTTTCAATATCGCCCAGTTCTTATACGAAATCACTCAGCAAAAGTCGCTGTTTTTTTAAACTAATTTTTTGGCTTGTGGCTCTGCCATTTTCGAGCTTCTCGGATTTTGCCTGGGGAAGCTTTTTATGTGCATGACAAACGAGAGGTTAAACAGTCGCAGGGCGTAACCGCAAAAGATGTCTGATCCTTTAAGCTTTGGGCTTATCGTCTTAGTTTGCTCGGAGCAAGAGCAGAAGAGTTAAAAATGGGCTTGCTTATCTTGGATTCAACCAAACATGGTAAACGGGCAGAATCTATTTATTAATTCGATACGCGCCTTCAGAATACCGAAAGTTCTTCAAGAGTTTGCGGAATTCCGGTCTGAGTCAATAAATTCCCATCGTTTCCAATGTGCTTCGAAATAGCATGAAATGGAATTGCTTGCATGCCAAGCTTGCGCTTGCAGGACAGAGACACCTATTTTCCGACCTGAAATCAGGTTTAAAAAAAACCGGCACATAAAGAATTTTCCTTCAATTAGAACTTAATATCTTCAGTTTCTCAAGCCTAATTAAACTCGTTTGCCAACTAATAAAATGCTTTTAGCAGCTGGAAACTTTATAGGTGTATAACGAGCTTAGCGTAATAGTAAACTTGGAAATTACGGGCGAGCGTGCTGTTTTCCTGAATAATTTAAGTAATTCTGACCCGGTGATGAGGACAATAACTCTTTCCAGGTATCTTCTGACACAATCTTTCACTGTTTCCTGCCGGCTAGTTTCGCTTCTATCTGGAAAAGAACAGAAAAACTAGCTGATGTAGGTTGGACGTGAAATGTATCGCGGATATCGTGCCATTTATCTGCAAACATTTGCGCTCCCCAAAATAGATACAGAGAGAAAATGGGGTTTTTAACGTCCCTAAACAAGGGAACCCCAATTTACCAGAAGACAATGAGATTTGCGTTCTTTCAGAACGGGTTATAAAAGGAAAATTTATTATAAACTGCAATTTTCAAAAATAGCCGACATTTCGTCCTTTTCCTGCTCAGAACGCGCTACCGAAACAACACATGCAATTGAAGATTTCCCAAAAATTAAGGACTTTTTGATTTGCACAAATGCTGCTTGATTGGTTCCGTCGCATTTTCAACAAAAAATAAATTTTTGTAGTGCCAGCCAATTTGTCTTTTTGTTATAGTTGTTTCGCTCCTAATGAACGGTTGGTAGTTTCATATGAAAAGTTTGGGTATTAATTAGAGGTGGCTTGCAAAAAGGTCCAGCCAATAAAACGAACTAATTCCTCTATTCCCAGCCCGTTCGTCGCTCTTTTGACAACATCCATTTAGCTGGAAAATACAAAACAAAAACATGCTTGCAGCAGAACTGACGGCAGGCACTTTGCCAATAAAAACAAAGGATTTCACAGCTTCACTAGTAAACTATTTAGCCGGCGCGTTCGTTATTTTTCCAATATAATCTGTCAGAAAGGCATGAAAGAAGCTGCCGGAATTCGCGTTTTTCCTATGCACCCTGCCTGTCTTAAGGGCTTTCTGTGAGCAAAAAAACCCCAAAATTTTTTCCCGAACCCGCAGAAATGACTACTGATAAAATCACTTCACCATGGCGAAGTTGAGTTATTTGCAAATAACTACTCACACTCTTTCACCGTTTACTTCCGACCAAATTGAGTTTTATCTCGAATGCAACTTAAAAACCAACTGATGTGGATTGGATGCGAAATATATCGCGGAAAATTGGTGTTTTTAAGCCTCTAAACAAGCAAGCCTCAAACGACGTTTACATTATTTTAGAGCACGTTATAAGGAAAACAATTGAGCTTTAGATCTGGAATTTTTTAGGGCCCCAGCGATTTACCTTTGCAAAACATTTCGTGTTCTCATGGCGAGTTTGGGACTGGATGGAATCTTCTTTTATTTGCTAAAAATTGACACTTTTTTCGCCCATTCTCACCGGAAAAAACGTAGCTATTCACTCCCAAACCGGCATTCGACAGACAAAAGTAAATTAAATAAAACAATTGGCTCAAGTTGAACCAGAAACAAAATTTTGCAGACTAATCCGTTTTGACGTGAAGAAACTCTTTTTAAAACCATCGCAGAGGAAATTGCGAATTCATAGCCATTAAGCACAGAAACCATGGCAAGATTGAGTGCAGCCTAATGATATGAGGCTGATGGATTAAGGCATCTATTAATCATCCGCAAAGTTCGTGGGAAGTAACGAATCAAAGTCAAATGGATGAGTGAATTTCTTAGGGCGAAAATTCGAGATTCGCTATTGATTTAAACTATTTGTTTCCTTTGCCTCGCAAATATCGACGATTTACATTTCACGTTAAAGATTTAGGCATTGAAACTGTGTGAGGATAAAAGTGGAACACAAAAGAATCATTCCAGTGGAAAGTTGCCAGCGTGTTTTCCAGCCAAAGATTCTCGTGCTGGATTTCCGATCGGCGTTTTAAGTCTGAAGCTTTTGGCACTGTTTTGATTCTACGGAGACTTTGGGGAAAATCGGTTGAATAATGCGCTAACAAAACCGCTCTTCATTTCCTTAGAGTGGACTGGAAAAATGAAAACTTTCCAAATTAATGCCTGCCAAAGGCTCCAAACTCATCACATTTGACTTGATGCCAAGAGAGTCAAATACTAAAGTTATAACGAAATATGTTGCTTTTTAGGCCATGGTGGAAAACCACTTTGCGAAACGCCAGGAAGAAATTCGCTTCCACGGTGGCCCGAAAGCCCGAAAAAGCCATAATTTTTCAAGAACAACCGCAAAATCCTCCCTTTTTTGTTAAAGAGAATAAATATTGACGAAACTCTGAAGTCCCGGAACAAGCAGGAAATTAATCAACCTCCAACATGAATTTTTAAAATTTCAATCCGTGAAAGCTTCAGCGCCATCCAATAAAATTTATCGTTTTTCTTAGCAACACTTTCAGAGTGATAAATGGTTTGGTCCATTGGCAAAAAGCAAAAAATCAATACCGAAACTGATTTATTTCATTGGAACGCACCTGGAAGTGTTGAGAGGGTGTCGAATAACCCTGAATCACTTTTATGTACGGGAAAAAATGCCCAATATTATAATCTGACCACCAAAAGCTTATTAAACAGGATTTTGCATGTAGAGATTTCGCAGTCTAATGCCAGACGAATGGGATTCTAGCAATTATTTTAATCAGGGCAGTGATATATGGATCGATCTCGCTGCTCAGCTCCAGAAGATTTATGCAGGACACCGGAGTAAAACGGCTACTGCCAAAGAGAAGCCACATCTACGGGCATTTGTTATGGAAGTTAGTTTACGAAGAACCTGGACCTGCATAATACTTCCCACGCTTTAAATTGTTTCTTTTCAATTAGGTCTGAAGTAAACATTTGCATGTATCTTCGGTAGAGTTAAGTAATTATATAAAAGCGTAATACAAATTGCACACAGCCAGTAGCAATCGCTAAAGCAAATGGCCTGATAAGAGCCAAAATACACATAAAAGCAGAAAGCAAACGTTCATTAAGCCGGTCACAAAATTTACATTCAGCGACCATCAATTAAAGTTTGGAGAACCTTTTCAGAGCTTTTCACGCTCCTTAAGGATAAAGGAAAAACCAATAGATTACTGTATGGCTTTTAAAGAGATTCACTCTCCAGAAGAAAAATTGCCATTTTTCTAACTGAAAAACACTTCATATCACACGTGGAATTTTACAAGCCATCTTTCATTGAAATGGCCTTTATTCCACTCTAGAACACCCCGCAATAAATGGTGTTATTTTCAACCGCAATGGAACAGAATGGCATGCAATGGAGTCATCTGTTTTATTTCATGGACGATGGAATGTTTCAGCACCATTTTCCATGTTTTTTCAAGATTTTACAAAACTTTTACTGTTACTCAGAGCGGGATTGTGCCGAGGAGAAAATTTAGCTCGAAATCGCTCCAATCTGCCGCCCATGAACCAGCGACGGTCCGTTAAGTTCAAGAAGCTTTTGAATGGAGTCACGTAACTTATTGCACTCCATAGTTTTGAAAACATTGCGAAAAATCAAAGCTTCCAATTCAATTTAATCAGGATTTAGCAACCGGCAAAGCCACACTCAAACATATTTGATTGAAAGTAAATAAATAAAATGCAATTTGTGGCAATAATGTAATTTTTCCCAAAAGTTGCCAAGAACTTTTATATAGGGGTAAAATTTCCCGCTGGGATTTAAGAGTTTATTCTGTTTTATTGCAATTTTATGGTAAGTAAAACAGACCCCAATGCTTCCAGGCCTGGAAGGAATTTCAGATACACGCCCTTTTTTATGCGAGTTCATAAAAAAATGCTACCCGAATCTATTGGGCCTTTTACTCCGAATTCATAAAATCGGGTTTTGTGCCTTGTCTTGTTCGGCTTTCCAAACGAAAATACTTTTGCCATAGTGACTTCATATTGATTCTCTTTTGCACGTTTTCTGTTTGGCTTTGTCGCATTTTGTCCCATTGGATTTTAAAGCTTTTAAATAATGTAGCAAAAGTTCACAACGACTTATTGCCGGAGAGTTTCACCTAAACGGTACAGAAAGAGAGGCACGTTTTGTAAAACCCGTAAAATTTTGTTATTTATCTGGGAAATCATCCGGAATAGTACCAAGTTTACCTGCGGCCGTAATCAACTCCGTATTGATCTAAACTCACCTTGTTTCCGCGGAGTTTAGTGAAGGAAATGATGACTGACGGCAGCCGAAAATTCCGAAACAGAGCCGGAAGCTGTTCAAGATCAAGCTGTATTTTATTGGCTTTCTTTAGCGAATTTTTCAGATATTAAACGCGACCGGAGATCGATTATTTATCGAAGAAAAACCAGAATTGCCGGTTCGGTTTTCGAAAAATCGTGGAACAATCACTGCTATGTTTTCGGTTTAGATTTCCAACATACGCAAATAAAACCAGGTGCTGAGGTTTGCGTTCTCCGAATTCCTGTGGGAAATTTCCCTGCACATAATTGAGCAAGTTTGCTTTCAAGATTGTTGGAAAAAACAATTTGGAACTTTAAAGTTTGCCAAAGTTGGAATGTGAAATTTCAGGACAAAATTTGTCCGGCCAATTTGAAAAAAAATCATAGTTTACTCTGAAGTCCCAAACAGCTAAAGTTTGCCTCTTTAATAGAGTCATTTTTGCTCTATAGTCTGCGAAATTTCAGTTTTCGTTCCATTCTGTGGTGATTATGGTAAACAGTGCAAATGACGACGAGTTTAATCTCTGGTCTCTAAAATCTGAACCGATTTTAAAAATTCACTCACTCAAACTGGATAGAGACCCAAATCTTATGAGTCTAATAGAGCCCCATTTTATCTAGGTATATCATATTGAAATTTCACTGCTCTATCTGCTTAGAACGTTAATTGTAGCATTTTCTAGTCAACGCATTTATTATGTATAAGAAAAGTTTGAGAAACAACTTTAAAAAAATTTCCAAATTTCCCTCGAGCCTATTAGAGATTACAACTTTGGCTCTCTAATAGACCCACGGTTGCTCTGTATAGGATGTAATTTTCGAGCTGCTATCGAGTCAGGGTTTCAAAGGACGAATTTTTAAAATTAAACTTGCACATTTCAGAAGAAAATTTGTAGGCAGAATTTCAAAAATTTTCCAAATTGTACTCAAACCTGAAGAAAATTTTAAGCTCAATAATTCTGATAAAGCCATGTTTGCTCTATGTTCAGTTGCAGTTTACGCATTCTGTCCGCTCAAAGCGCTAAGTAACAAATTTTCAAAACAGCGCTTGCACATCTTATGTAGAGAGGTCACAAAATTAGTTAATTAATAAAAATTCGCATGGGCCGTCGAAATATTTTAAATTTTCGTTTTAAGTAGAATTATATTTGCTGAATATTTGTGAATAATTTTAGCTTTATATTGATTGTGTGGTGAGCTATGAATTTTTAAAGCAGATCTTGATGAACAGTGCAAATGGGGAGTCTGAAGTTCATATTTGAAAAATTCCTAAAATTGCGCCCTGAAACTTGGGAACATTCTAAGCTCATGTGTCTAATAGCACCACGTTTGTTCTATATGTAGCCGAAATTTCAGGGCTCTACCTGCTGAGGGCTTTAAGTGATGATTTTTTCTATCAAAGCTAGGAAAAGTTTGAGGAGCAACTTTGAACGTTTTTCCAAATCTCCTTCGAGCCGAATAAAGATTACAAATTTGGCCCCTGATAGAGCCGGGATTACTTTGTATGTGGTGTAAATGTCAGTTTTCTATTTGATCAGAGTTTGAAGAAACACATTTTTGAAATCGAGCTTCCAGATTTCAAAATAAATGGCCACCCAAAAAATCACAAATTTCTAAAATTAACTTATGGAAACCGAATGAACACTCTATGCTCATGCATCTAATGGAGCCTGCATGCTCTATATTCAGTTGCAATATCAGCACTCTACCGGCTCAGAGCTCTAAGTAATGGATTTTTAAAATAGAGCTTGCTATGTAGAGAGTTACTAGAAACCAAAAACAGTCGCAAACCATTAAGAGTACTAGAAAAAATCTGCTCAATCTTGTGCTGAAATAAACTTCAATAATTCTGAAAAGCTTAAAGATAAATAAATTAAGTTTATTTTTATACCGGATATAATTCAGTTCTAACTAGAAAGACGTTTGCTAACTAATAACGACCATCGAGGCCCGTCTAAATGTGCAGCACACAATAAATTGTTCCAGTTCAGAGTTAAACAGACCACAATGGGAACATAACTCCGAAGAACAATGCTGTCTGGCTTTGCATTGAACAATATCCTTTCCATGCCGTTCTATGTTTACGAAAATATGGGCCTTAAATCAAACACTCGCGTTTTCACATGTCCATTGTGTTTTCTTCAAATAAATGATGCGGAAAATCGGCATCCCAAGTGTAAAACTTGCTCAAGTAATCGATTGAATTGCATAATTAAAAGTGCAAAGTTAGTGCTCATTAAGTCGCGAAAGGGAGACATTAAATCGGACATAAAATGTTTATGGGAATAATCTCTTTTTGCCACTAATTAAATTCGTTTTATGACTCAAATCACATCCCGAGTGGCAGTGGAGGAAATGGCGAAAGTCTTTGAAAGTGGAAGATAATGGGGGCTCCGGAACGGTCTGTTATGGTCTTAAAGAAGCTTTCGGCACTTGTTCCTTCTTCCAATCAATCTTCCGCATTTGAAAATGTCAATTCCAATTAGAACAATATTTCCACCGGATTAAGTGCTATCCACTTTAAGCTCCAACGTGGACAAAATTCAAGCCACTAAACAGGCCATTTCTGGCAAAGTAAAATAACTCCAACCACAATGACGAAACTGGTGCTTTCCCGACTGTTATAAATCACAAAATTAGAACGAACTTTGGCTTTCAGCTCTAAATTGCAAGGCAGCATCGCCATTGTTGTAACGCGAAAAGAACTTTTCCAGGATTTGCAATGGAAACGAGGCTTGACATGGAGGAAGAGTAACTTGGGATTGATCACTTTTCCAACTGTGACAATTTTCACGCCTCAATTCATTCGAATATTCCAGAAGTGGCTTATTCGGAGATGGATTTGTTCAAATTGACGAACGTTTCAGGCAAAGTGGAAAATCCGCTTTTTTATATTAAATGCTCTAGTTTGTAGAAGGTTGGATTTTCCAAGTGAAAATTTATTCGATGTTCTTTGTGCAATTTTTCCATTTATTGAAATTAAATTTGACAATTACGGAATAAATGTGCTGCTTCTTTGCAGGTTTATGGGCAGAAATTTGTTTGCTTACCGTTCAAAAAAATTCAACATGCCTGTCGGCGGAAGAGTTGCAGGAAAAGTGAGCGGGATCGTCTCCAATAATTACAATGGTAAGTTCAAATATTTAAAATTTTTAGGCCAGAAATAAGGCCTTGATTAGCCAATAAAGCAATATTTACTTTTGCGTCAATAACCGTTTGTTGTGCTCTGACTGCTAAATTCTGAAAGCTGTTCAGGCGAGATTTTCTCATCGTGTAAATTGAAAAAGTTTTGCTACAAGTATCGACAGGAGCCGCTTTATGCATTACACGAAGCAATTTTCGTCAATGATGGAATCGTAAACTGTATCCAATATTTTTGCTCAACTTAACTTTAATACGGAAAATGTGATTTCCAGGTCGCTCCTATCAGGGCATCAATGAGGAGATAATCTGGGTCAGCATTGGAATGGGAATCGCTATCGCCGTTCTAATCACGGTGGCCCTTTGCTACATAATGAGGGAAAAGTGCGTCCAGAGGAGAGAGTATTACATAACAGCATGAACAATCGTGCCAGTGTGAAGTGCATTGGCCCAATCAAATTTCAACAATTATTGATCAGATTTGAATTAAGTTGGAAACCTGGTTCTCTAATTAGCCAACGTGAAATGTATGAGCGGAACAAGGCAGAGTTGAAAAGGCGTGTGTTAGAAAGAGAAAATTACTCGAGCGCAGCATTTTCCTCTTGCTCCAATACACGCATTTAGGGCTGCGCTTTGTTGCACTCATGCTTTATTGGCCAAAAACTTAGGCAACCAAAGTTTCCCTTCAGAATATTTAGTTTAGTCGCAAATGCCTAGTAATATAACTAGCAGGATTGCGCTGAATACCTAGAATGTATTTAGCTTTATTTTAGAGTTCATCTAAAAGTTAAAAACCTGATCAGACAGCTAATTCTACTGCTGATTAACCTAGAAAAAATTAGTTCTCATGATCATTTGCAACATTTCATCTCACAACATTAGAATTAGGTGCATGCACTTTAGAAGTTCAAAAACTTCAGTTCGTTATAGGCGACGAAATGTCGAAAAGAGCACATTGACTATGAATTATTTTGTAACTCTTGTCTCATGTACATAGTGTACTTTTGAACTCACCGTGTAAAAAGTTCTTAATACGCTTTAGTCGTTTTAGATTTACACTTGTATAACAGGGTGGTTAGTGTTTAAGAACTAACATGTTTTTACGCGGTATTTCTACAAAAAAATGGTCTGGGGTTTATCTTTTATGAAAACAAACAAAAACTAATAAAATGAATCCATTTTCCCAGTGAACTTGAATGTTTTCAAGCTGTGCAAACATGCAGTTATTTTGTGAATGTTTTACAGTAGAAATCACTTTAACAGCGATTTTTAATGGCGGCAGCAAATGCAAGCAATGCGGGAACTATTCGAATTTTGCCCTTATTGCGCTGCTGAAAGCGATGAATTTTCTTCGAGTAATAAAGCACAAAACCCAACGTTTCCACAAAATTTAATAGTTCGCATCGCCTCAAAATCATAACTTTCGACACATAATAACGCATTTAGTTTATTAATTGCTTTTTCCGCTTTTTGTCCAAATTACTTTTGAATTTTTAGGTAAAATTCCTCTAACTTGATCCTTATAAAAAAGTTCTCAGTTTTGCAAAAAATGCATCCGAACAAGACCAATATTTTCGCTAAATAAACTCACTTCAAAGCAAAAATCCTGGCAACGAAAAAGCTACTATTTATTGCCATTCTTATGTAAGACACGTCCTATCTGGTGGACCAAATTAATGTACTTAGACTAGGGATAATAGTGGAACTAAATAGGAAAATTCATGTCAATTGTAAAAAGATGATTAATTAAAAATGTGGAAAAACACTTGAAATTTGCTTCAATATTTATTTAATTAATTTGTTGGTTTTACAAAACCTTTGTTTGCTTGCGCTTGTGTAAATCATACACCAATCGGGCCATGGCGCAATCTTCCGCCGCCATACCTAGAAAATCACGTTTTTTTGCTTTAAGGAACACATTATTTCAGACCATTTTTGAATCCTGAATCCACAGAACATATTTGAAGTTTTTTGAACACTCTTTTGAAAGACTATCAGAATTTGGTCCTGGCGTTTCGCTAGAACTTCTAGCGACCATCTTCAAGCGTTGTTTCGCCCGAAGCGAATATATTTCTGAAGATTCTAGGGAAACGTCTGGACCAAATTCCCGTCCTCGAAATAACCAAACAACTTTGGGTTTAGTATTATTATCATTACCCAAACTCTGGAAGATTGACCGATCCTTGTTTCCACTTTGGACATTGCCCAAAATTACATCCCCAATTTCCGCCTTCATTTCAGCCCCAAACTCCAACAGTCCTGTTAGTTCTTTGTTGGCACCTTCCCAACTATCCACATAAACAGCGGCATTTTTATAAGTTTCCGCACTCAATTCGTACCGTTTGTCTTCCCCTTTGGAAGTTACAACGCCAATTGCTGAAAAGTGGACTATTTAGTGTGCAGTTTTTTGATTCCGCGAATTTTTGCTCGGTTTTCCTAACCGTTGATGTGCACTCCAGCTTTAAGCCATTCGGATCGAACTATCGGAACTGGACCTGGCGAGGTGGCGGTCACAATCACATCCGCATCTCTAGCGCAACTTTCATTTCCTTCAAAAGCCCTAAATTTCAATGTGTGATATTTATTGTTCAGTTCCGCAGCTAGATTTGCGGCCTTTTGATGGGTTCGGTTCCACAACCGGATCTAGAATAGCAGCCGCAGAATTGTTGCTCTATTGGCTCCTCAACATGTACCAACCTCTTCGAAGTTAAAGCAATGATAAAAACAGTTCGCATGGGCTTTGCCCTGGTCACCGCATCCAAAAATCGCTAGAATTTTCTGCGGTTTTCCTGTACGAACATGTAAGTGTTTGGTGGCGACTGCTGAAGCTGCAGCTGTTCTCCAGCTGGTTATTTCAATAGCGGACAGCACCTGATTATTAACGACTGAAATGCGAGGATACGGTTTAGAATAGCACATAGACACTCACCGCTTTTAGCACTCCCGAATCTTCATCGTAAAGGACGATGTTGGCGCTCATGGTTGGAGAATGAACATTTTGCGGGTTTCCAGACAGAATTTTACATGCCCAGCCGCCAAACCTCGAATCTTCCAGATATCCGGGCATCGCGATCATCCACTTGGGAGTGTTAAAAATTTGCGCAAACACTCGAGGCGGTTGGACGGACTTTCGCTCAGAAGTGGCCCTCAGAGCGGTTTCGGTCGCTTCCAATGTATCGTCCCAGTTCAGAACGGATTTCACCTCTTCCTCATTGATAAACATCGCTGCGTTCTGCGTGAAACAACAAGGCTTTTCTCACGCACTGTCTTGCTTCGGTTTGAGCTCGCGAGTTCTTATAATAGAATTTCTGATAGCTTTTGCGGTTAATATACAGAGTATTCACGCAAAATTGAGTTATTTGACTAAGTTCCCTGAATTAATACGTAATATTTTATAAGAAAAGCATTAGAGAAATGTATGTTTTTTTTCTGGTCAGTTTTGCCAGCATTTGGACGCGTAAATATTCAACTGATGCTGATAACAGAATCCTGCTAAATAGCAGGAAATGATGTGTGGAAAAACCACAGACCATTGAGGCCAGCTTTTATCAATTGTGAGCATTAAACATGTTTGTTTTCAGGTTTATTTGCCCCCATTTGCTTCATTTTATTTCACAGGAGATGTACATACAACATAGAATATGCTAAATTAAGCGGGTCCAACATAAATCATCCAAACCTAGTCGAAATTTATAGATTATAAATATTATAAAAAAATAATAATAAATGTGAAATACCATATGTTGGAACGTCAATGTCTGCACCACTTGAGAATAGAACTGCTTTTCTTCCGCTCATAAATAAAAAAATGTAAACTAGCAAACAATTATTTTTAACAATTAGTAACTTTTTATAATTGAAAAAATACAAAGCGTTTAAGGAAAAGGATAAGGGCCTCGTTATAAAAAAATCCCTTTTGTCCATTAATTATGTTTAATTTGGGTTCTGTACTTTTTTTTAAATTCATGTCTGTATAAAAAACTTCTTTTTGCTAACACCGTAAATAGTTAAAAAATGCAATTTGCTTAAAAGAGCCAAATTTCTTTGAATTAAATATTTTCATTTCTCAATCAATTCTGT